AAAAGAGCCTGACAAAGAAAGCAGTATTACGCAAGCTAGCACGCCTTATTAAGCTGCACTCGCTCTTGCTACCAGTATCAGTTACGTCTTGTCTGCGGTGTTGGCAGATCTTGTGAGGTGCTTTTTCGAGGGATTAAAAGGTTCAGTGGTGAACAAAGGGCGATGAGGTGCCTCTTTGTCCCCTCAAGTGTCCCTAGCTGTCCCAATAGAATAGCACTTTATCTCTCTTACATCCTCGATAATCTCCAGGGTATACGTTACGATCACTCTCCACTATACCCTGGATGCATCCACGGCTTAGGGCGATGATTTTATTACCTCAATTGGCTGGCTTTTTATCCAATCAGTACCCTACGCTGGGAAGTTGAGCGTACCAATCACAACTCACTTTCGCTTCTTAAATTATCTAACCGTTAAAACTTTGCAACACAATTGATGCAGAGGTACTCTGAAAGAAGTAGAAGGAGTTCTGTCATATATCTTTTAAAGTTTCAGATCTGTCAATTTGTCTTTATTATTTCCCAAAAAATCTGAGTGGCACTGCGAACAAACCTTCGCGACTGCGACCGCTATCCTTGTTGACACTGGCAAGCTCGGTTGTAACCAGGCGCCAGCGATTTTATGACTGACTGACTGACTGACTGAGTTTGGTTTTACGCCGCTTTTAGCAATATTCCAGCAACATCACGGTCGGGGACACCAGAAATGGGCTTCACACATTGTGCCCATGTGGGGATTCGAACCCGGGTCTTCGGCGTGACGAGCGGACGCTTTAACCATTAGGCTACCCCACCGCCCCCAGCGATTTATGATATCCTTAGCAAATGTAACTTAAAATTCCTCTCATAAAAATACAATAATATGTAGTAATATGATGAAGAAAATAATACGAACCAGGTTAAACTATGACAACGCAATATATGAATGTATGATCGAAACATAAATCATAATAAATCACATATGATTAAAACATTAAATTAACTTCAAATATGTCATTGCGTCAACATTGAAAATAAATTCGAAAATGAAGAAAAGAAACTTACATTTCAAAGCGTAAACAAACAATATCCTGTTTTATTGGGATATGCTATGAAGAACTTCAAAATGTAATAGAAATAACATTAAATTATTGAAAGCTATTACTCGTAAAATATGTCCTTGCGTCAACATCGAAAATAACTCCATAATGAAAAACATACACAAATAATCTCTGGCTTTTTTAAGACGTGTCACGAATAATTTCACAGCTGGTAGAATTAACATGAAATTATAGAAACCATATGCTAACAAAAATTTGAAAATTAGTAATGACAAAGCGTTTGTCACAAACATAGCTATTACCCCCGCCACATGTCGATATCTGAATGTCGCAATTATCCTCTGTCTGACCCTGAAAATTATGTAAACGTTACCGAAACTGTCATCTGATGCCTTGATACAAAATGCGAACAAATTCCATCCATATTAATTCTGTCTTGTATTTTCGGACTAAAAAGTTAGACATGTGCAAAAACACTTTTCACTGTGAACTTAAAATGAGCACAAGTTTCCCAATCAATTGGTGTTGGGGGAATCCCGCCAATACACCTTGATATAAAATTGGATCAAAATCTATTAATACTTTCCTGAGTTCGCGGCTACCAAGCTTGGCATGTGCAAAACTGTTACACCTTCGCTGTGACCTTTAAAATAACCTCAAGGTCACTAAATTCAAGTGGTGTCGGTAAATCTCAATCTCAGTCAATAAACCTTGGTACCAAATTTGAACAAAATCCATCATTTCTTTCTCGAGTTCTTTCAGTAAACAGAAGGGGAGTCATTTGAACAAGCGATTGTAGTTTTGAAATTGCCTTTTTGTGAAGTTTAATATCTATGTTTGATTCTAGCCGACTTCTACCAATCTCAAACATAGCATATTTTGTTTCCTGAAGTTTGTGATGCATTTTATTGCAGATTTTACGTTTTTGGGAGTACCAAGCCAAGATACAAAGTCTCACAAAATGGGATCGTGAGGCTGCAACATAGCAAAATAAATTTGCTTTTGAGGCTGACAGATAATATGTAGAAAAATAAAACATAAAAACAGCTGCATTTGTATCATATTCTAGGTGAGGCTGACTACTATTTGAACGTTCCTCGTAGTTATACCCGAACACCCACCCACCTCTCCGACTCTACATGCATGCAAGTGTGTTAAATATACCCGTTAGAAACCCACCCCTACCCCACTCCCCACTTTAAATGTATACATATCAAAACCCTCAAAAGATATTTGCGAAAAAGACATGATACAGAGGACAGTTTATATCGATTATATATCAGGACGAATATCATTTTCGTCATTTAGCTAAGATTTGTCAATTCTTTCTTGGAGTTATCGCGCTAACAATCTTTATATTGGCAAAACCCTCAGATTTTTGCTGTGACTTTGAAAATTATCTCAAGGTCACTCCATTTCACTTGTGTCGGTAAATCTCGCCAATATACCTTGGTACCAAATTTGAACAAACTCCATCATTTCTTTCTTGAGTTATCGCCCTAACAAGCTTATTTGATGTATGAAATGCAACGAAAAACAAACAGCCGCGTATTTACGAGTGATTAAAACTGTTATTACAATTTACGTAAACATTTATTACATTTTACCGCAACGAAAATTATTACAATTTACGTCAATTTTTATTACAATTTACGTTTTTATTACAATTTACGTCAAGTTTATTACAATTTGCTGCAAGTATTACAATTTGCGTTTTTATTACAATTTACGTCGTAACATTACCTCTGTTCACCCAGCAGATAATGGGTACCCGGTGGGATAAGTAATATGGCTATTAACCTTCTACCGCCTCTATAGCATGGGTTATCTGTAGCATTAATGTCTATTATGTTACATAGGGCGTGGAGTTCAGCCACTGTATAGGTGGCCATACTATATGTGTCGATGGTTGAACTTATGTGTTGATGAATGAAGATATGTGTTGATTGGTGTGTTGATCGAGAAATTATGTGTTGATCGGTGGACATATGTGTTGACGGATGAACATATGTGTTGATTGATGGACATGTGTGTTGATGGATGGACATCGTTACAGAGAAACTGTATGAATGTTCCAACATGTCTTCGTTACAGAGAAGCTGTATGAATGTTCCAACATGTTTTCGTTACAGAGAAGTTGTATGAATGTTCCACCATGCGTCTTCGTTACAGAGAAGCTGTATGAATGTTCCAACATGTCTTCGTTACAGAGAAGCTGTATGAATGTTCCACCATGCTATTTCTTCGTTACAGAGAAGTTGTATGAATGTTCCAACATGTCCACGTTAAAGAGAAGCTGTATGAATGTTCCAACATGTCCACGCTAAAGAGAAGCTGTATGAATGTTCCAATGGATGTCTTCGTTACAGAGAAGTTGTAATGAATGTTCCAAATACGTCCACGTTAAAGAGAGAAGCTGTATGAATGTTCCAACATGTCTTCGTTAAAGAGAAGCTGTATGAATGTTCTCCTCCAACATGTCTTCGTTACAGAGAAGCTTTCGTAAGGAATGTTCCAACATGTCCACGTTAAGCGAGAAGCTGTATGAACGTTCCAAGCCGTATGAATCGTTCCAACATGTCTTCGTTACAGAGAAGCTTTTCGTATGAATGTTTCACCATGTTCAAGCTACAGAGAAGTTGTATGAATGTTCCACCATGGTTTTGTTACAGAGAAGCTGTATGAATGTTCCAACATGTCCACGTTAAAGAGAAGTTGCATGAATGTTCCAACATGTCTTCATTAGTTATGAGAAGCTGTGCTTTGAATGTTCCAACATGCCCTCTCGCTTGCAGAAGCTAAAGTGAATGTTCCACACATGTTCACGTTAGAGAGAAGCTGTATGAATGTTCCAACATGTTCTCATTAAAGAGAAGCTGGTATGAATGTTCCAACACGTCTTCGTTACAGAAGTTGTATGAATGTTCCACCATGGTTTTATGTTTCAAGAGAAAGTTGTATGAACAAGTCTCACATGTCCACGTTAAAGAGAAGCTGTATGAATGTTTCCAATACGCTCCTCGTTACAGAGAAAGTTGCGTTGAATGTTCCAACATGTCTGCGTAACAGAGAAGTTAAAGGAATGTTCCAGCATGTCTCTGCTATGAGAAGCCGTATGAATGTTCCAAATACGTCTTCAAGTTGGCAGAAAAAATGTGTGCTGAATGTTCCAATGATCATCTCTCGTTACAGAGAAGCCGTAAAATGAATGTTCCACCGCCGTCCCTCGCGTTATAGAGAAGCTGTAATGAATTGTTCCAAGTCATGTCTTCGTTACAGAAAATGTGTATGCAATGTTCCACTCACGTCTTCGCTTGCAGATAAGCTGTATGAATTTTCTCCAACATGTCTTCGTTCCAGAGAAGCTTTCGTATGAATGTTCCAGCACGTCTTCGTTACAGAGTAGTTGTGCTGGAACGCTCCCAAAACATGTCTCGTCATATGGCAGCCGCATGAACACCCCAACATGTCTTCGTTACCGAGAGGCTGTATGAATGTTCCAACATGTCTTCGTTACAGCAGAGAAGCTGTACGAACGTCTTCACGTCTCGCCAGAAGCCAGCGAACGTTACGTTGCAGAAGTTGTATGAATGTTCAAAACATGCCCTCGTTATAGAGAAGCAGCATGAATGCTGCAGCATTTGTGCGTTCCAGAGAAGCTGCATGAATGTTCCAACATGTCTCGTTACAGAGAAGCCGTGTATGAATAAAACTCCAACATACACTTCGTTACAGAGAAGCTGTATGAATGTTCCAACATGACTTCGTTACAGAGAAGCTGTATGAATGTTTCAACATGTCTTCGTTACAGAGAAGCTGTATGAATGTTTCAACATGTCTTCGTTACAGAGAAGCTGTATGAATGTTTCAACATGTCTTCGTTACAGAGAAGCTGTATGAATGTTTCAACATGTCTTCGTTACAGAGAAGCTGTAAATGTTCCAACATGTCTTCATTACAGAAAAGCTGTATGAATGTTCATGTGAGTGGAACTACAGAGCTGACCATTGTCAATTTCCAACAACACGATCTCGGTGTCCGCCAGCTCTGAAAGATGGTGCTTACACTCTCCATGGCAACAGCCAGCGATTTCATGGGCCGAAATACCCCGCTCTAAGTGCCGTATATACAGCTTTTCAATCTGTAAGTATTGAAAATAGTTCTAGCCATGAATGAAAACCAGACACTCAAGCTGTGACACCCACAATGTGTTATCAAAATTTGTATTGTTTCAAAAGTTACGCACAACAGAAAATATATAGTATGTTTGTTTATAGTTTAACGCCACACTCAGCAATATTCCAGCTATATAGCGGCGGTCTGTAAATAATCGAGTCTGGACCAGACAATCCAGTGATGAACAGCATGAGCATCGATCTACGGATTTGGGTAACATAGTAGTATTTACGTCAAACAAACATGACTGAAAATGATGATTACACCACAAGTCTTCACAAATGTACCAACGTATTGTACATGATTTAACAAGATGGCTTGTACAGTACACATCCTCACTAACCCACTGATGCCTCGATCATTTCCTTTTTCAGCATCAACTTGGACTCGACACAAAGACAGCCCTACTGGAGAGCATTAAAACACGTCTTAAGGGCGCAAGGAGCAGCTGTGGCAGCATGCCTGAAGCATTTTATAAGAAAATAGAAGAACATATCAATTTATCATCTGCAGTGCATTAATAGACTAGTATGTCTTTGGATAAACATTGGCCTTCTTTCGTGGGGTATTAACTGAGTAACTTACAGAGGGAATGAACTGTGATCGAGATTTTACATTTATTCACTGTGCAATATGGCAATATTACCAGCCATGTCACGTCATGTTGTTCTACACGGAACAGAAAACTTACAGATAATGGATATTTTCTGGGATATGGTTTTTTATATACAGAAAGCGACTGAGTAACCAGTTTCATGACAAATATTCCCCCAAATAGTCAGGATCACTGTCACGTTGTTTGTTTTGAATACATACGGGCGTACATTCTTCCTTCCCACGCAGGTTACTTGTCATATCTTCCTACGAACCTCTGTTCTAATAACGGCCCTTTCATGGTGCGAGTGTTCAGGATTCGTGATTGGTTGCAATCAGATTTAGTTGTGCAATCAGCAGCGTTGTTTCAAAAGTGATCATTCGCAAGGACTCGGTAATTTCCGTATGCTTCGGGAAAACTAGAATCTCTTCCCCGCAAACGTTTATTCTAGACAGAACTCAGTCAAGTAATAGCGGATCAATGGCGTCTCCATCGCCCTCTTGAAAACGGACACGCTAGCCATTAAATGTCTTGTGTGTCACATAAATACAAGTCTCCGACAGAGGAGGAATATTTGTGGCCCAACATTTGCTTGCATTAGTCAAGTTGGATCTAAGTCGATGTAACACGTGTTCTGATTGGATAGTAAGAAGGGAGATAATTTGTGTTGCGTTTTTTTTTTGGCCGCTAGGGGATTTTACGAGAGAACCGGGAACTATGGCCGTATTAGAACAGAGGTTCGTAGGAAGATATGATAAGTAACCTCTGTGGGAAGAGAATGACGGGCGTACGGCATAAAACAAGATTCATGCAAACACCCAATATGTAAAATGTTAATAACCTGTTAATCTACGTACATATGTGACCGTTAATTGAACCAGTTGTCTGTGCAGAGTAGTGGCCCTTTATTGTCAGGATCCTGGATTCGCTCTTATCACACTATGTTTTGTCTTGTGGTGGCGCGCTGTCCAGTGATACACAACCGACGTTACCATGCCAACCGTGTTGTAATTAAATACTTTCATCGACGATACACAAGTCAATCAATTTGTCAATCAACCAAACTGAATCAAATATCAGTGACGAAAATATTATGCATGTGTTGTTTTCAGAATCTCATGTCCTGTTAATGTTTTGTTTGTGAGAGGGAGTATTTGCAATAAATGGACAGTTATCAAGTTAGGAACTGTCTGAAGAAGTAAGGATTATTTAGTTTGTTGTTTAATAGGGCCCGTAAGTAGGTCACGGCACTTCGCGAGACCTTAGTACTTCCGGGGACAAACAACGTTGCATACCTTTCGAATGGTTTCATGGTTGTCAGTTGACAGGAATTAACCGATAATCCTTGCAGGAATGACAAATATTCCATCTAACCATCCCCAAATTAGCCAACTATTACGACTGTCAACAGCTGTGACAGCCAAGCGTGGTTGTACACTTGGCCTGGTCTACTAAAGTCATATTTGGCGGTCGCGCAATTTGCAAATCAGAACTGCTTCTTGAATACAATCTTGTCACCGGAAATCTGGTACCGGAAGTAAACTGGGCCCTGTCTCGTATATCGCAATTTGGCGTGCGCAAAGGCAGCCGGGAACCAGCTTAGTACCGGAAGTAGCGCCTCGCGAACCATACAGGCCCTATATAAACCTTTGAAATTCAAGAATGCGGATGATCAACCGAAACAGACTACATAAGTTGTGATAGATGGCACAGCTGTGGAAATCGTATGAGTGGATCTCTGAAAATCAACGATGGTAAATCTAGTTGTTAAAGTGTTAGGTCGTCAACCCGAAGAGACGGATTCGATTCCCTCAAGTTGGAACAGGGGCTGTTGGATAGCCTAGTGGTTAAAGCGTTCGCCGTGATATTGCTGGAATATTGCTAAATGCGGCGTTAAACAATACTCACTCACTGAAGATCATCGACAACTCATCACAATGGGGACCCAGCTGGACTTACTTCATCACTTCATCCGTTGGCGGTTGTGGTGTTCATCCTTCACAAAACATATTTATCAAACTTTTCCAAACAATTTTTTAAAAAGTCAACGATTAAATAGCAACTAACATTATCAAACAAATCCCTGGCTTATTTATTTCACACTGACAAACATGTATGTATTCCTTTGTGCTCTTAACACGTATCTATCTTTGTCAACTGCTCATAGCATGTGTTCACAAGACCTCGAATCTGTCAAAACACATATGATTCTACAATATATACCTCACCCCACGTATCAACAAGACTCGGATCTGTCAAGAGCGCATAGCACGTGTCAAAAGGACAGCCAACATTGTCAACAGCACTAAAAGACATGTCAGGAAGAAGTCACCCAATCTGCCATCAGCACAAAACACATGTCAGGAAGACACCCAATCTGCCAACAGCACAAAACACATGTCAGGAAGACACCCAATCTGCCAACAGCACAATCCATCCACGTGTTAAGAACACTCTCCACGTAACAACATATGTCTGTCAATAAAAGAAGTATCTGTCAACAATTCATATATTTTACATTTTTCCTGAAATTATTGAACCAAAGGATCAATGTGTTATTTTTAGTTTATTTTACGCTGCACTATTTACACCCCACAGAGCCTCACCACAGCCTGTTGCTCTGCCACAGACACATCCATCATACACATACTCCCGTCAGTTGCCCAATCTGTACTCAGTTGTCATAACCTTGTAACATCTGGTACCCTGTATTGTTAAACCAAATTGTCACACGGGCCCTTCTAGCCTCCAGCACTTATTTCTACTAATTGTGACACGAAATATCTGATGATGAGATAAACCATCAACAGTCTGTTACATTCACATTTTCTATCATCTGTAAGCTTAACTGATATTGGATTTCATCAGGATCGATAAATGGACGATGCTGCCTATTTATACTCATATATGCAAACTTACGCATCTGTTCTATATGTTTGACAATATACATACGATTGGAGTGTACAATCGAATACATTAAATATGCATGCTCTTCCCCAACCCTACCCTTCATCCGTATCACCATACATGTAGTTACGCAAAAACCGTCCTGTTGATTTTGGTTTAAATATTTTTATTGATACGCAGAACCGACCGAAACAGTTATAGGAAACTAAACACAAAGATGAGTTACACTGCTCCACATGACATGTTATACAATACAGTATATTGAATGAAACATGAGTTTAGTTTTACGCCGCACTCAGCAATATTCCAGATATATAGCGACGGTCTGTAAATAATCGAGTCTGGACCAGACAATCCAGTGATTCAAAATGTTTTATGATCTTTGAATACTTTTCGTTGACGCATACAACATGTAGTTCACAGAGATACGATGTGTTGGCAAGTAAAATATGTTGTTTACAGAGAAACGTTTTGTTGACAAATACAATATCTTGTAAACAGAGATACGTGTGTTTGACAGATGGAGAGTATTTCATCACATACATTCAGTGTGCGAAATAGCCACTGACCCGCTAGCCCGTGGCTAGTAAAAATCCACTCAGGCCAGTAAATCTACACAGTCACTGGCCCGACTGGCTAGTTAATTTTCATAGGGTCATTTTGTAAATATATCACTCTCTCCGACTTGTTACAAATTACAATACACTGTTATATCAGGAAAGATTACAAATGTTCAATCTTATTAGCAGCTTAATGATTAAACCCGTGCCATGCAGACAACATCTTATTCAAATCTATTTTGTAATATTCTGCTTAGTTTCTACATTCAAATTTCGGGATAGTGAATTATTTTGTGGGCTGGTAACTTTCAGGCATAGCTAGTCGGACTTGCTAGAAAAAATGGAAACTATTCCGCATATTTATTATCAGTTTTCATTATTTTGTGGACGAAAGATAAATTCACAGCAAACCACCCACCTACCAGCGACAAATAATCGGTATATAATTAACATCGGACGCATGACTAGGTGTGACCTTGGCTTGACCTTGTGCTCCTGCGCCATCGACATTGATCACAGATCTCATGTTACTGAACATGAATAATTGTTCACTCACCGTAGAAATATTCACCTTTGCTCTATTTGATATCCAGACATTTCCAATGAGTTCATTAATGGCGTTAAATAGCCTCCAGGCTCTGCTTACTAAAGAGGCGGTGGGGTAACCTAGTGGTTAAAGCGTTCGCTCGTCACGTTGAAGACCCAGGTTTGATTCCCTACATTGGTACAATGTGTGAAGCCCATTTCTGGTGCCCCTCGCCGTGATATTGCTGGAATATTGCTAAAAGTGGCGTAAAACTATGCTCACTCACTCAGTTCAAAGCGTCTTGTGTAACTTTCTGGGATTGAAACTCTGGGAGAATTGTGGTTACTATAGCAACTAAGAACGCAGACCAATGGGTCACATAAAGGCCCCTCAAATATCGCGAGTGGGTGATTTTGTTAATTTGGTTTACAGACTTAACCCAGTTATATTTATTCTGTACAGGTGAACACAGACCCCGGGCCTACTCTATTCAGCCTCGGATCACGAATCGGGCACGATGACAGAGTGACCTGGATTTAACGCCGTTTTGAACAGTATTTGCCGTTGTAACATATATTTATTTGTACTCAGTCTCTCATAAGTATCAAAGTCAAGGATATTTATTGTACTTAAGGCCTCGGGCAAAATCTGGCTAAGTGAGAGGACACCCCATATACAAGTAATACAAGTGTATATACAACAATTGTTACAGACATTTCACAAAAGACCCGGGTTCGAATCCCCACATGGATACAATGTGTGAAGCTCATTTCTGCTGCCCCCCGCCGTGTTATTGCTGGAATATTGCTAAAAGCGACATTAATCACTCACTCACGGGTGATTAAAATAATCGTCCGTGTGGAAAACTATCAGCCTAACACAGATAACCTAAGTATCAATGATTGATACACGATACACACTAAA